TTTAACCAATGGGACAGGGTTCCACAGCTCTGAAATTTGATTTGTTGTGGTTTTCTTTAATGGTCTCTATCTGCTGCAAGAGAATTTTTCTTGATGAAGGGTGAGGGCTATACTTATTTCTTAAGCTTTGGGACAAGAAGCATCCAATGAGATAGAACATGTGATATTTGTCTTTATGGATCTGGATCACTTCATTCAATATAAGCTTTTCAGGATCTATCTGTTCACCAGGCGATACATTAGAGGAGGATGTGACAATATACTTTTAACTGCACCACTTCTAAGATAATTTAAAATTAGATTGAATCATTGTACCTTATATGTGTTTTGTGTTCATGTGCATATTTGCAGAAGAGGGTATCAGATCTCCAGGAACTGGAATTGTGGATGGTTGTGAACTACCATGTAGATTGTGGAAGTTGAACCTTAGTCCTCTGTAAGAACAGTAAGACTTATTAATCTCTGAGATAAAACTCCAGCCCCTTCCCCCATAAAATTTTGTTGTTGTTGTTTAAGTCTCAAGAAAACCTTTTTCTACCTTGGATTTCCATATTCCTGCTTTTGTTTTTGTTTGTTTCCCCTGTAGTTAGAAAAAAAAGTATATGTAGTGAGGTTTGGCACACTTACAAAATGACATAAATATGAGGGAATATTCTAGCAATAAAAATGGCAGGAAGGGCAGCACAGGCAGAGTCAAATAGCTCCACAGTTAACCCCATTACTGCAGTTTTAGAAGACTAAAGATATTTATCAGTGTCTTTTAATCCTCATCAAAAGTCATGAGGACTATCATTTCTGTATTGATCTTAAAATGGCAAACATCCCATTTCTGTGCTTTTGTACAAAGCATTTTCTTTTCTTACATTTGAACCTTGATTTCCCAGATCTTGTCCACTCTCACTAGTCTGGTTTTTAATTGCTAACAAGTAGCCTTTTGTTTGTGTTTTTCTTTGTTTCTCCTTACATAGAACTATTGGACCTTCCTCAGTAACTCTTTTGGCTTCCTTCCCTTTTGTCATTCAGTTCCCCAAACCCCGCCATTTTAATATATGTGGCAAACTGAGAGTCACAAAGTGGAATTTTAGCATCCCTTACCTAATGTCTAATCTCTGATCCTTTAGTTTTTCTAGGAGCATTGTAGGCCTTTTCCTTGTTGTCCAAGAGGTCTTCTCACATCCTGGTCTGCATTTGGAAGAAGTCACTGACCTAGCTGTCATGCTCTCACAATATTCCTCCAGGCAGGTTTTTAACCGTTGTGGGAGGAAATTGCCAAGATGCCTGGATCCCCCACAAAAACCTTGAACACTTTATCAATCACTTCCTGTGCTGGACAGTTTTATGTCAACTTGACACAAGCTAGAGCTTTGTGAGGAAGAGGAAACCCAACTGAGGAAAAATGTCCCAATGAGATTGGCATATGGGCAAGTCTATAGGGTATTTGCTGGATAGATGATTGATATGGGAGGAGCCAGCTCACTATGAGAGTTGCCAGTACTAGATTGTTAAGCACAAATTGTTTAAAAAAAAAAACCAAAAAACAAAAAACGAGCAAGTCAAGAAGAGCAAACCAGGGTCCTGAGGGAGGTTGACTCCCAGTTTCCCGAGAAACCGCCACACTGATTTCCACAGTGGCTGCACAAGTTTGCATTCCCACCAACAATGGATGAGTGTTCCCCTCGTTCCACATCCTCTCCAGCATAGGCTATCATGGGTGTTTTTGAGTTTGGCTATTATGACAGGTGTAAGATGATATCTCAAAGTTGTTTTGATTTGCATTTCCCTGATCGCTAAGGAGGTTGAGCATGACCTTAAGTGCCTTTTGGCCATTCGAAGTTCATCTGTTGTGAATTCTCTGTTCAGTTCAGTATCCCATTTTTTAATTGGGTTAATTAGAGTTTTAGTGTCTAGTTTCTTGAGTAAAGCATTTGTTCAACTATGTTCATAGCAGCACTATTTGTAATAGCCAGAACCTGGAAACAACCTAGGTGCCCCTCAATAGAAGAATGGTTAAAAAAGGTGTGGAACATATACACATTAGAGTTTTATTCAGCGGTAAAAAACAATGACATCTTGAATTTTGCATGCAAATGGATGGAAATAGAAAACGCTTTACTGAGTGAGGTAAGCCAGACCCAAAAAGAGGAATATGGAATGTATTCACTCATATGTGGATTCTAACCATAATTAAAGGTCCTTGAGCCTATTATTCGTGATCCTAGAGAAGCTAAATAAGAAGGTGAACCTGATAAAAATCATGTAGCTATCCGCCTGGAGATTGGAAATAGACAAGAGTCCCAGGTAACCTCGGGTGCATGGGGGGGGTGGGAGGGTTGTTGGAAGGGGAGAGGGTTAGAGAGAAGGGAGTAGGGGAGGAATGGGGAAAGCTCAGTGGACTGGGATGGGGGAGAGTGAGGAAGGATGAATATGGGATCAGGGAAGAATATATTTCAACTAAGGGAGTCACTTTAGGGTTTACAAGAGACTTGATTATAAATGGGATCCCAGGTCCAAGAAGAGATCCCCAGATTGTTCTCTGGACAAAAGAGAGGGTGCCTGAAACGGCCTAAGCCCATAACCATACTGATGAATATTTTGCTTATCACCATAGAACCTCCATCTGGCGATGGATGGAGATAGAGATAGAGACCCACCTCGGAACACTGAACTTCACTCCCTAGGTCCAAACGAGAAGCAGAGGAAAGAGAACATGAGCAAAGAAGGCAAGACCAGAGAGAACCTTCATCCGACGATGGATGGCGATACAGACGGAGACTCACATTGGAGCACCGGACTGAGCCCCCCAAGGTCCAAATGAGGAGCAGAAGGATGAAGAAAATGAAAAAGGAAATAAGGACTGTGAGGGATGCGATCACCCACTGATACAAGGGGACGGATCTAAAGAGAGTTTACCAAGGCCAGTTGGACTGGGACTGAACGAGGACGCGATCCAACCAGATTCTCTGAATGTGGCCGGATTCTCTGAATGTGGCTGGGCCGGAGTCTTTCTGAAAAGCCATTGACAATGACACTGGGACTTGTTTCCTCTGCATATACTGGATTTTGCGGATCCAGTCTGTCTGGACACTCACCTTCCTGGACCTGGAGGGAGGGGAGAGGAACTTGAACTTCTCACAGGGCAGGAAACCCTGACTGCTCTTAGGGATGGAGAGGGAAGAGGAGAGGGAGTGGGGGGAGTGGGAGGGTGGTGGGAGGAGGGGCGGAAATGGAAACTTTTATAATTTAATAAAATTACTTTCAAAAAAAAAAAGAAGAGCAAACCAGTTAGAAGCACTTTGTTATGATCTCTGCTTCAATTCCTGCCTCCAAGTTCCTATCTTTAGTTCCTGCTCTAATGTTCCTGGAAGGTGGAATACAAGTTGTAAGATGAAATAAACTCTTCCCTTCCCAAGTTGTTTTTGATCATGGTATTTTATCACCACAAGAAAAATAATTAATATACATCCTTATTGAATGATCCCTCAGTGGACGATCCCACCAAAAACACGGCCAATCTATTTCACAGACTGTCCAGAGGTGCCTAGGGGACATCTTAATAATGTAATCTCACAAATTATCATTTTTTATTTCACTGTGGGTTCTAGAGAGAAAATTTACTTTGCTATTGATCTATTTGCTTCTCCTAAAAGATGACAACCACACCAAATCCAAAAGGGATGGATGTAAACTTTTGATTTATAAAGTTGAGTACTTTCCTGTCATCCATCAATGTCTTTACCATTCCGACCTGGTGTCCCTAGAGTTCTACATCACTCCTACCCATGAGACTACTAAAAGTTTGGCCTCTAGAAAGAGATCAAACTCAAACTGCACTTCTACCCTCTTAGGTAGGCTAACCAAAACTAAAATAAGCTAGGTTCTCAAGCATCAGATATGCAGCAACCCCTGAACTAGTTTCTGAGACTCGTTGGCTTCTGTTGTGTTTCTGCAGTTCTTGCCTGAGGGTGCCAAGAAGATCAATCTCCTCTGGATTAAGAGTCCTCTGGCACACCTTCATCAAAGTAACAGGGTTATACAAACACACACATATGTATATGTATAAAAGCATATACATACATACACACATATATATATACACATACATATATACTTATATGCTTACCATCTCTTGAAAGAACCCCCAAGAAACACTGCAGAATTTCTGAACAGAGAAATGGGACCTTGGTGATTATTTGCAAGGAGTAGTTTTATTGGGTTCCAGCAGAATCTCTGTGACACAATATCAAAGACAGAGAGTCAAACATCCAGAATAGAAGCTTTTTTACATCTTTATCTTCTTTGTCTCCCATATAGAGTGAACTACATTCTGACTGATTACTTTCCTAGAGAGTGGGGTTTAAAAGCTGGGATAGGGAGGAAAGAAAAAGAAAGGAAAGGAAAGGAAAGGAAAGGAAAAGAAACATTATTGTGCAAGAGAAGTAGTAAGGTTGCACCTACAGTCAAGACTCTCACTACCTTACAGGCTGTTTCCTGTTTTTCTTCTTGGATCTTGGGATCCCCTACCGCATGACCTTTAATTTTGGCATTCTTACCCTTGCTGTCATGCCTCCCATCGCCTGTCTTCCTGCTCCAGTTCTCCAGTTCTTTGCCCTTGCTGTGTCCACTGGCTGCAGGTGCTGCTCTATTAGATGTGTGTATGTATCCCGCGCTACCTTCTCGCCCACAAGAACGACGTGGGACACTTAGGATCCTTCTGCAGCAAAGCTTTTAATGCGTCTTGAGAGGGAGAGCATAAGCTTACATGGCGGAGACCCGGAATGAGGGGAACCCAGCCCTTATAAAGGAAACAGTCCTCGCTTCTGACGTGTCACTCTTGGATTGGTCCGCTGCCCATTATCCCAGATGATGCCTCGGAAGTAGGCAGGGACGCAGCAGTAGTAAGTTACCAAGCACATGCGCTGGGATTAAAGGCGTGTGCTACAACACCTTGAACTCACAGAGATCTGCCTGTCTCTGCCTCCCAGGCATTGGGACCAAAGGCGTGTACTACCACACCTTGAGGTCACAGAGGTCAATCTCTACCTTTATCCCTTGAAGCAATGGAGAATGTGGTTGCGGCCCTCCACATGTATGGACCTTTACATCCACTATTCCCCTCAGATGACACCTCTCAGGGTCACCCCTTGTGATTCGCAAGCCATTAAGTGCTGCACACACTCCACTCCTTGCTCTGCTTTGTTTCCACAAATACTTTGCATTGCATACACTGTGAATTTATTAGCATGCTGTCTCTTCATGGCTAGGGAGTTTGCTCTTTGCTCTACTGTATCCCCGGCAGAGAGCCTTGTAATAGCTGGGGGAGTGAGTGAGTGACTGGGGTATTAGGAACATCTGGCCTCATTTATTCACATGACCTTCTAAAATTCCCAGACGCATATTAACAACCAGACAAATGCCAAGAGGCCAGAAAGGGAAAGGATGGAGGAGCCAAATGTGGTGCTGAGAAAGCCTGGAAAGAGTGAGGCCATAACACACAGGAGGAAGGTGCTTGCAGGATGGAGTGGTCAGTTGTGATGTTATTGAGCCCCAAGGGAGAAAACGGGAGAGAGAGAGAGAGAGAGAGAGAGAGAGAGAGAGAGAGAGAGAGAGAACAGAAAAGGTGAAAAGGTCCTCTGGGTGAGCTTGAGATCTAAGTCTTAGCACTTCAGGTGAAGACAGGGACCTCACCCAACTGTCCAGCTCCACATCATCTTCAGACTGTGTGAAGCAGAAGAAGCGTAGAAAAAGCATGGGAGTGTAGTGATATCCTGGTTCCATAGTGAGGGTTTAGGTCTTCAGAGTTTGGACACCAGAGCCTCTCCAGTTGCCCTGTGAACTGAGACCTTGGGCATCGCTCTATTCAGGATCTTCTTTCTCTCATCAGCTGAAATCGAACTGTGGAGACAAAATGATGGTTTTTGGAAATAAGTGATGTCAGGCAGGTGGGTGTTTGTGTCTCTAGGTTGAAGTTACCTCTTCTGAGGACCTCTGTCCCTAGTTACTGGCTCCACGGCATCTGCAAGAAGTCGTACACTGGTGGTCTCTCTCCGGACTGAAAGAGGGAGAAGACTGTTAGACAGAAAGATGGAATTCCTTTAAGCCCAGATATCTGTGAAGGAAGGACCTTTACAGGTCATGGCATACATTCCAGGAGAGGGAAAATTATACAGAATACCTGACATCTGTACAGGTACCGAGATCACATTTTCTCATCTGAGATTTTACAGAAGTGTTTTTAAGTTCATCTGTCCCAGTCTGGATGGATTTCCTGATGACTTGACCCTAATGACCTGGTTTCCTTGGTGACCTGACTTCTGATTTGATGGAACATGGGGGACCCCACCACCTTCTCAGACCCTGATATTCAAACCCACTCACCCTTTTTTCTGCGTTTTTCTTGATGCCTGAAATGGAGAAGGAGGAGGGTAAGAAAAAGAAGCAACAGAAGGAAGGCCACAGCTATTCCAAAAAGAACCTTCAGGTACCTTTCAAGTCCTGGGGAATGGTGACATCCAGAATAAGGAACCATGCTACCTGCCTGAATATCTACTGTGTGTAAGATGTATGCTAGATCTTTGCATACTCTCTTCTCACAGCCTTACAATAGGGTTCATCCCCTTCCACATTATGCCATATCACCTGCATGGAAGAAGTAAATCTGGGCTTTGAAACCATGGAATCTATCTTCTGGCACTCCACCTTACACCAAAAATGAATCTTATGAGCTAGAGGGAAGTAGTCTAAATACCCTGCTATGGTTCTGTTCTACACCCTGTCACATGTCACTATGACTTTGGCATAGGGTACAGGCTTACTGCAGAACCAGGTTCTGGAAGTCTCCTATGTCAGGGGAGGTCCCAACTTAGGTCACTGCTGAAAGGAACTTAAAAATGTGTACCATGCTTCTCTTCTTCAAAGTTCGAAAAGCAGAGACTCAAACAGAGTCAAGGCTTATGTAAGGCAAATCTCAAAAAAAAAAAAGCCTGCACCAAGCCATAATTTTCTCTGAACCCCCTAGAACCTAATTCTCAACACTTTCCTCAGTATTCCCAGGGCCTGGATTCTCATAGACAAGTACCTAGTTTCCAGAGCATGCTGGAGAGAAATGGGCAAATAGAGGGCTTGGTACTCTGTTCTCCACTGTACCCATCTGCTCCTTCCAAGTCTGAGCTCTAACATCTCCATATGAATGTCCCCTTATGCATTCCAGACTCTAAGACTCTAGGATACTGCAATGCTGCTGAGATCTCAGCTTGGCCTCTGGATCCTTAGGCACATTCTGTGTTGACAGAGTAACCAACCAGGTTTAGATGTGCTGTCAGTTTGGAGGCAGCCTGGGGATGGAGCAAGCTCCCAAAAGAGAGGCCAGCGACACTCACCAAATGTTAGAATGGGCTCTTGGGATAAGGAGTTGGGGTCATCAGAAGATCCTGGGAAAGAAAACAAGTGGAGGGAAAGAGACTGATCCTGGAGATGTTGTTGCTCATTGTCTTACATCTGCATTAGAGATTACCACCCAAGAGTCTCCCGCTGTCCACTTAGAACTTTCTGAATTTTAATAGAGGTGAAATGGGAATTCTTTAAAGGACAAATGTTAGGTTCTTCAAGTTTGGGTGGTGAATGTCAATATGACTGACCCTCCCTCTTTCTCAACACTCATATTCCAGCTAAGAGTTCTTCCAAGCATAGACTCAGTGGTTACCATTTTAGCTGAGAGAAGTCAAAGACACTTACCTGAAACCACAAGCTTCACAAGGTTACTGGGGTATGACAGCATGTAGGGGTATAAGTCTTCAGAACTATAGCACTTGTAGGTGCCCCCATGGGCAAAGGTCACATTCCTCATGAAGAATTTTGCCTGATATAGCTTATCTTGAAGCACTGATCTCAAACACCAAAGTGAGTGGGCAGTCCCTTCTTTAGACAGAAAGAAACTATCCCTTTGATGTGATGATTGACACAGCAGAGTCACATTCTCTCCAGAGGACACTCTGCGGCTTGGGTGAACTGACAGGGAAGGTGTGCCATGAAGTATTGGCGAATCAATCCCACACCAGTTATGTTTTAAGGGGTTATTTATTTTGGGGGGTAAAACTTACATACACCATAAACCGTCAGGAAGGGAGCCTAGTCGCAGGAGCCGGGAGCAGGAGCCAGGAGCAAGCACCGGAACCAAGAGCCGGAACCAAGAGGGCCTATTCCGGATATGCTTCTCTTTTTAAAAGAGAAATATACCACGCCCCAGTGGGCTGGTATTTCAGCAGCTATTGGCTGATGGAGCGGAAGTCGCTCCCCACTGCACTGTGGGCTCGTATTTCAGCGACTATTGGTTGAGGCAGCGGAAGTTACTCCCACAACAATGAAGCTGTCCTAGAGAGAAGAAGGATGGATGAAAAATTGCTCACCTTGACCTGAGCTGAAACTTCACCAGCACTAGCCTCTAAGGACTTGGGTGGGTAACACTGATTCAGCTTCATCTCTACATCTGTACTTTTATGAAAAAGCATATTTCCTTTTGGCCTTCACATTCTGGACTTCCACAGCACATCCTGTCTAGTTGGAGTCCCTGACTGGACTGATTTGGCTCCAAACTTATGATCAGGGCGTCCAAGAGGACAGTGGGGGTATGATCACTCAGAAGAGAGTCTGTGTATACCATGTCATCTATACTTGCCCAATGACAGGGACACTCATGAAACGACAGGAGCACTCATGAGACTCAGAGAGAAAGTTAGCCTAAGTACCCATCTGGGATTGTAGTTCAAGGTGCCAGTAGAGGCCAGTTTTTCCTTCTCTTCCCTGAACAAAGCAAATCCATTGAAGCTGATACCAAAGAAAAACTAATGGGTTAATTCTTTTCCAGGATAGGATTGTGGTAGGTCAGGAAGTAGGGCATGCTGGACAGTCTTTGAAGGAAGACAGATGGTTCCTGCAATATATAAGTCCCCTCCCATCATGCCCTGCAGATAACACTTCTTTACCATTCCAAAACTCTAGTTCAAGAGCTAGGAGTTTCTTTCGGTACCCTCCTACATGGTAGAACCAGAGCTTATGGGTCTCAAAAAACGATTAGACAGTTGCTGGGGTTACCTCACCTGTGATGTGTATTTCCAAGGAGTCACTGGGATTAGACCACATATAGGTACTATTTTTGTAGCCATAACATCTAAACATTCCTCTATGATTGATTGTCCCAGGACCTATGTGGAAAAGAGCCTGGAATTGTTCAGTAGAGTTTATATACTGTGAGTTCTAGAACCTGGAGAACTTCTCATCTTCCTTGGTCAGAACAAAACCATTTTATCTCTCCCATGAGGCACACTGGAAGGTCATGTTCTCTCCTGAAGCAACCACAAGGCTTGTCAGGACTGATAGCATGGGTTTGGGGAGTAAGTACCCTAGACAGAAGAAGGTAACATGTTACATGGGCTCATACAACCCACAGTGTCCCTCAAGGTTGAGCTGTGGAAAGGAAACACTCTTGAGAACAGACAGACCCTTTCCTGAATGTGGAAACTTAGGCTGGAACCCTTACCTGTCACCACCAACTCCAGAATATTACTCTTCTTTGACCAGCTAGGAGGCTTGTGATAGAAACAGAGATATCACCCGGCATGGGACCATTAAATAATCGGGATGAGGAACTTGGCTATGTTTCCAGGCTTCATCAGGGTTAATCTCTGCAAAGAACTATGGTTTCTAAGTTGATAAAGGTAATAATTCTGAGCACCTGGGGTTCCTTCACATATAATGGTCACCTGAGATCCATTGGCAACCACAGATCCTGGCTTAGCCCTGATAACAGGATTTGGAAGTGACCCTGCAAGAAAATCAATATCTAAGCCATAGGACATCAGGCTTTGGATCCCAATACTCTTCCCCAGGATGCTTTTCAATTTCACAGCATCAGCCCACATCTGTTGTTCTCCGTGCCCACTGCCCAGAGATGCTCCCTTGTCCTCAGTGAGGATGAAGGACCTGAGAACCTGAGGACATACTTACTTGTGAGCAATGGGGTCCTGAAGCCCAGAGTCAGTCCTGGAAGAGAGGGTTCTGTGTGAGACATTTGTCTGAGTAGACCCTCCCTTCCAAAGTTGCCTTCTGGCTTCCTCAGATGCCTTGGTAAAACAATGCCTGGCTGTGGAGTGAAGCCCCCACCCCACAGCAGGATGTTCTGTCCCTTCTTCACATCTCACCAAGGCAGAGGAAAGCTGTGAGTGTTCCAGGCATGACATCTCCTGTGGCTGCAACTTTGTAGATGGTTGGAGACAGAGCCTAGCCAGATGGGAAGGCCTTGTTAGGTGATGGGTCCTCTCTCTTATCACAATGCTGTCATTTCGGCAGTCTTGCAGGAAGAGGAACTGCCCTTTCAAGTCAACTGTCTTTGATTTCTCCATTGATATAGCTCAAGCAGGATCTATATTCTCTAATTATTTTTTTTGAAAAAGAGCCTCATGAAGTTCAGACAATCCTCACACCCTGGTCCCCCTCCCTCGGCTTCCTGTGTGTTAGGTTTATAGGTCAGTGATGGGCTTTAGTCTCTTCTTACAGAAGCAGCAATTCCATGGAATCTCTATATCTGTCTGAATGATGTTCATGTCATGAATGGCCAGGACTTAGCAATAAATAGTCCTAGTGTCTTCCTGAAAAGGAACTTCTCAGCTGAGAATGGCTGGCCAGTCCACTGGGAGTCCTTCACTTCTTAGGCCAGACCTTCCTCACAGACCCTCCTTCAGAGGACTTGTGGCCTCAACAGATGGCATCTCATCTTCCTTATCTGATGACAACACAGCAGATATTCTCTGATATTCAACCACAGCAGAAGCGACATGTCCTCAGTGAGAAAGCGACTCGCCAGAAACCTGATTACATGTTTGTCCCCAAATCAACGCCTCCTGGACACCTCATTCATGGTCTATTCTTTATAAATTATAATCACTTAAGCCATAACTGGATGAAATATGCTAGCTTAATTCTGCAATTCTTTGTTTCTAACCAGCTGAGGACAGTTCTTGCTGCTTGTGGTGGCAAGAAAGAGTCTCTCTGTCTAGACTCAGTTTTGGTGCTGGGTAGGATCTGTGTAGCTAGGTCTTCAAATTGGGTTTTCTTGGTGTTTATATGATTCCTCCCTTGGCAGCGTACACTCAGTACTTTGTGTGTGTGGCTGTCTGGGGCATTGGGCGATTTCCTGTCCATATCCCAGTGGGTGCACATTTCAGATGGTTTGGGTGTTAGATCATGAGAGGTCTCTGTGGTAGTAGGACTTGTGTGGTGTTTGGGTAGGCTTCTTAGCTCACATCAACTTCCTTAACCCTCCTGGCTTGTCAGTAACTTTAAAAATCTACCTTTCTTACAGCCACAGTGGACATCACCTGAAAATGAGGTGGAGAAGCTCATTTATCTAGTAGTACCCTTCTCTAGTAGATTAGGGTTTCTCCATTCTCATGATGTATTTATGGTATTCACACATGGCTCAGATGATAAGTTCTTCTGAGTGCTTCTTTTTAATTAGGTTAGTTTTCATATACTGTACCTCTAGTGACTTTGAGGCACTCATGACTTTCCTTGTAAAAGTGCCCTGAAGATTTTCAAGTTATGACATTAAGCTGTTTGTAGATAAAGACGTCTTTTCTTGTAATACCCTTAACAGTTACAGCTCCATAACTGAATTGTGTTCATCACTACTGTTACTAGCATGTCATCTTTATACCTCCACGAATTTGTCTAGGGCAATGTGGAGTATGTGGCGTAGAAAATACTGATGCCATTCCAAATTTCTAGGATAAATATATATATATATATATATATATATATGTTTTATATAACATAATATATATTATATAATTTTATATATATTTATGTAACAGAAGAATATTTTCATCTGATTTTTTTGTTAATTAATTTACAGTAAGTGAACACTGGTCAATTTTAACATTTATGAAGACATACTCACTTTTCATCAAATTCTTTTTATCTATCCTAGCAAACATGTTTCCCTTTTACTTTTTGTGGATGGAAAATATTAACTTGATGTTTGAAATTATTAACCTAACATTGATTCATAGAAAGAACCCATATTGATCATGTCTGTCATTCCTCTTACTTGCTACATTTTTGGTCTAGGACACTATTTCTAATGTCTTTTGAGATTGTGAACTATGCTGGTCCTTTTGTATAAGGAGATACTGATGTTCTTGTTGAAACACGGAACAAACCTGGGGAAGTTTCATCTACTATTTTTGTGAAAGTTTGTGCAGGGACAGAAGCCCACTAGAGGCAGCCAGCCCGGCCCCACCACTGATATAGCACAGGGAATGTAACCAAAGGAAAGCCATGGCCAGCACCTTTAGTGGCCTGCAACCTCTGCTGACCAAGCCAGCCATTTCCACTGTAGTTGTGTGTCCACTCCTCCCTCCCCCCAGGCACCAGAGCCTCAGGTCCCTACGGGTCCCAGCAGCCATAGACTGCTTCCTGCCCCCCCCCAACACCCTTTGCTGCTGCTGATAAAAACCTTCACTGTGGTTTAGAGCTGTTAACAGCAGCCCCTGTTTCTCCTTCCGCTCTGAAACCCGATTTGCTGTCCTTTTCAGAGTTCCTCTCCCAACCTGCCTTCCTCCTCCCCCAACACCTCCAACTCTCCCTAACAACCTTCAACAACCCATAACCCAAACAACCTTCAACAACGCATAACCAAATCCACCTGCCTCCTCCGTCTGCTACAACCTGGGCCTCTGTCCTTGTCCAGCCTACCCCCAGCTTCCGGTCACTGACTCCTCCCAGCCAGCCTCTGTGGTCAAGGCCAGCCACAACGTCCTCCTTCCAAGGTCTCAGTTTAGCTCCTTCCTGTCCTGAAACTCCTCCTGCAGCTTACACAAACACAGGATCCCAAAATTTCATACATCTTAGCTCTGTCCTACACTTCCAAAACTTCGACTAAAATTCATTTTTCACCCTCTCTTCTCCTTAAACTATCTCCAGAGACTCTTCTTTGCAGTCACTCCAAAGAGCTCCCCAGTCTGATGCTGACTGCCCTCTCCTGTCCCAAAACGAGATTCACCACCTGTGCTTGCTCTGTCCAGGCTTGTTCCCATGGCAGCTGGGCCTCCACTGTTATACTGTTTCAGAGGTGCACTCCTCCCTCCTTCCTTCCTAAAGGCAAATTCTCCACTTTTAATCAGTTTATGACCCTTCTTCTCTCCCACCTCCTTCCTCCAGAGTCCCTGCCACTTTCCCAACTAATTAACCCTTTCCTGTCCTGACACTGCCTAGAGTTTAAATTCAGTCATAGAAAACAAGCTGTAATATTCTGTAATGACAAGTTTACTACCTTTATGGTTTACAGAAACAAGCTTTATTTAGCCTCCTGTGTATCAGATACACTTAATAGACACTTGCTCCTCAAACTCTTCAGAGATCTGCTAAATATGACTTTTAAACAATTAAACCTAACAGTTTCAAATATACATCCACGAACAATTTTTTTTCTAAACTCCTTAATTTTACCTCTGTCCCTAACCTATCTGTCCCAACAGATTTCAAATCAATTACAGACTGCTCTAAAAATTCCAGGACAAGCCTCTGCTGTCTCTTAGGAACTTACATCCTGCTTCAGCCTCACCTAACACTCTTTCCTATACTCAGATAATCCCACAGAACCTGGGCATCAGCTGACACAGCCTGCTCTTCTAAATCTTAAACAACAGTCCAGCTTCCTTGGGTCCTATAACAACTATGCCACCCCAATGTCAACAAGAAGCCGTCAAAGAGAATGATGCTCACTTACCCAACATCTGACCACCCAATAAGAAAACAACAACAAAAAAAAAAACGTGGAAAATGAAGGAACATTAGGGCTTTGGTAGGGCTTTACCCTTCTCCCCAATTCCCTCTGCTTTGCTAAAATCTGTTAGATTACATTCTTAAAGCAGGCCACCAAGTTCCATCCATTTCCTTACTTAATTAATCTTTCCTCCTGAGAACAACTACTGAGGTCCAGCTATCAAAGTATTAAAACTCAGCTAGCAAAGCCCCCTATGGCAACCTAATTAACATGCCTAATTAAAATTAAACACCTTGTCCTAGCACAGGGTTTCCTCTTGTACCAGATGTGCCACATCTGTCTCCTCTCTATCCAGAGGCAGTCCTTTTGCTCCAAGAATCTTGTCTCCACTTCCTAGTTTCTTTTCCCTCTCCCTCTTCCTTTATCTCCTGTCTTTGTCCCTTATCCCTGCCCCCAGGCCCTCTGGGAAATACAACCCTTACCCTCCAATATTTTCACTGAATGTTTTAAGAAGTATAGAAATTGTGCTGTGCAATTTTTGCAATTCCATTCTTTCATATAGCAGCACTGTGTCCCCTGTAGCTAGCACCTTTCCCTTTCTGTAAAAAAAAGCACTACATCACAAAACTGAAATCCATCAGGAGAGAGTATGTGTATTAAATGATTTTACTGAAAAGAAAGAATCGAGCAAACTTTGTTGATGAGTTTTGTAAAATGGTGTGAATGAGACCTTTGCAGATCCCATGGTGGATGGGGATA